CATTATTGTAAAAATGGTATAAATAATATCAGTGCACTAGTGAAAGAATATTAGACTCCCCAGTTGACGTGTATTGGACGTGTGGTGTGATTTGTTTACTCCTGAACATTGGTAAAAATCGAACATTTCCGCTACTTTGAGCTCAGTTTCAAGGTCGTTTTTCATCATCAAAGTAATGAAAGTCATCTCTATTTCTGTAATATGTTTTCCATTTTATCACCTAAGACCATGAAAACGCAAATACATCGATAAATACTATACGAAAATACACCTCAAAGTCGGCGTTTTAATCCAAAAAAACTATCAGAGTTTTTGTTTCTCATTACGCACTGTGTGCTGCAGGATTTTTTTTATGTGGTGCACACTGACCACACAGACCCATTCTCTCACATGTGGGCCTACCAGCTTTCTTCCGCTTGATTTGAAGCCGCTAGAATTATTGAGTATATATACGTCTGAAACACTGGCTCGTAAGACGTATATATACGACCAAAACAGTCAAAGGGTTAAACAACAATGGTGACATTACACATCCCTGTCTAAGATCTACTTATACCGGGAAGTAATCTCCCTCTCTTCTACACACCCTAACCTGAGCCTCACTGTCCTCATAAAAACTCATTACAGCATTTAGTAACTTACTACATATTCCATATACTTGCAACATCTGCCACACTGCTCCCCTATCCACTCTATCATATGCCTTTTCTAAAGCCATAAATGCAATAAAAACTTCCTTACCTTTATTTAAATACTGTTCACATATATGCTTCAATGTAAACACTTTATCTACACATCCCCTACCCACTCTAAAGCCTCCTTGGTCATCCACAATTCTACTCTCTGTCTTACCTCTAATTCTTTCAATAATAACCCTACCGTACACTTTTCCTGGTATACTCAGTAAGCTTATTCCCCTATAATTTTTACAATCTCTTTTGTTCCCCTTCCCTTTACATAAAGGAACTATACATGCTCTCAGACAATCCCTAGGTACCTTTCCCTCTTCCATACATTTATTAACCCCTTCAGGGTCCAAGGCCAAAATCTGAAGTGGTGCTCCAGTGTCTAAGAAATTTTGAAAAAAAAAAAAAAAAAAAAAAAAAAAAAATTATTTTTTCTTACAGAATTAAAGAGTATATTTTTGTGAAGGTATAAGACAAAAAAAAAAATTCTGATCAGTACTTACCGAGATACAGCGGTGGGAAGTTGACCCAAAATGACCGGGTGGCGGCAACATCAGTGACTTCCGCAAAATACCATTTTTTTTTATTTTACATTTTTTATAGTTTTTTCTTTTCTTTTCTAATTTTTTTCTTTTTCTAGTAACATTTGTGGCCTGTGAGACCAATATAATGTATATTGTATAAGTGTACACTCATTGTATTTAACACAATAACTGCACTAATTTGTTTATCATTATATTGCTTACAAAACTTGTTTACAAGTTTATTGTAAACAAAATGATGAAAATATTAGTGTGGTTATTGTGTTGAATACAATGGTACCATATAGTACTATATGGTACAATGGTGCCATAGGTTGCAATTGTACCATATGGTACAATGGCACCATATGATACAATGGTACCATATGGTACAATGGCACATGATACAATGGTACCATATGATACAATGGTACCATATGGTGCAATGGTACCTTATGGTACCATATGGTGTAATGGTACCATATGGTACCATATGATGCAATGGTACCATATGGTACATTGTACCATACAGTACAATAATACCATATGGTTCATTGTACCATATGGTACTGTTGTATTCAACACAATAAACACACTAATATTTTCATTAATATTTGGTTTACAATAGTTGTTTACAACAAAAATATGCAAAAATGTTGTAGTATATTAGTAATGTTCTATTATATATTTACAAGTGTACAGGAACTTGATGTATTCCTTGAGGTGGATGACAAAGCACTTTGTCTCCAAAACTGCCGAGTCAGTAGCTAGCTTGCGTCGCCATTCACTCAGTCTTGGCTGGTGTCACACCTATTGACCATATGGTACACGGTATCATATGTTACAGGGTACCATATGGTACACTGTGCTATATGGTATAGGGTACCATGCAGTACAGGATAACATATGATGCAGAGTACCATATGGCACAGGGTACCATATGGCACAGGGTACCATATGGCACAGGGTACCATATGGTACAGGGTACCATATGGCACAGGGTACCATATGGTACAGGGTATCATACAGTACAGGGTACCATACAGTACAGGACACCATATGGTACAGATACAGGGATAACTATGGAAATAAGTCACCCTGACTTTTTTGGGTTATCCTAGGATACACAAATAACCCGCACATAAAAGAGAGAAGCTTACGACGACGTTTTGGTCCGACTTGGACCGACAGGTTATTTGTGTATCGTTCCAGTCACGGTATTGTGCCTTTTTTTGTTATTTATCCTAGGATTTTATACGTATGCTGCTATGTATGATACTCTATGTAATTGTATTTCTGTACACCTGAATAAACTTACTCAAGTGCATGTGGCATCATAAGTAAGTTTATTTAGTTATACACAAATAAAGTTACATAGAATATCATACTTAGCAGCATATGTTTGGAGAACCTAGGATAACCCAAAAAAGTCAGACTTATTTCCATTAGGGTCCCTGTACCATATGTTATAATGTACCATATGGTACAATGTACTATATGGTACACTGTACCATATGGTACCATTGTACTGTATGGTACCATTGTACCATATACCATTGTACCATATGATACCATTGTATGACATGGCACCATTGTACCATATGGTACCATTGTACCATATGGCACAATGGTACCATATGGTTCAAAACCATAGAATTCGTCTTCAGCTCCACTTCCATCAGTCTTAGAACCGTAAGCTGTGAAGAGGAGAGTCAGAATTCGCCCGGAGAGTGAGTGGGGAATGAGAGCTTCCTTGCCGCCAGGCACAATGAACAAAGCTACTTTGCCAGCGTTCCCACAATGCCATGTGGGCGTCCAGATTTTTTCTATGGTGTGCACACTGACCACCCAGACCCATTCTCTCAGATGTAGGCCTACCAGCCTTCTCACGCTAAATTTGACGCCGCTAGAATTTTGGCGTAGATTTATGGTTTGGACCCTGAACGTAAAGCTGTAGATCTACGGGACAGACCCTGAAAGGGTTAAACAAATATACCAACCACTCCAACACTATATCCCTCCCTGCTTTTAACATTTCTGTCATGATCCCGTCAGTTCCTGCTGCTTTACCCCCTTTCATTCTACGTAAATCCTCACGCACCTCCCCCTCACTCATATCCTATTCTTCTTCGCTCCTAAAAGATGTTATACCTCCCTGGCCAGTGCATGAAATTACCGCCTCCTTTTCTTCATTGACATTTAAAAGTTCCTCAAAATATTCCCGCCATCTACCCAATATCTCCATCTCCCCATCTACTAACTCCCCTACTCTGTTTTTAACTGACAAATCTATTTGTTCCCTAGGCTTTCTTAACTTGTTTATCTCACTACAAAATTTTTTCTTTTCATCAAAATTTCTTGAAAATGCCTCTCCCACTCTATCATCTCAATATATCTTTAAATATATCTTTAAATACAGGTACCATCTGACTTACGACTGAGTTCGGTTCCGACCAACCGGTCGTAAGTCGAAATGGACATAAGTCGAACCTTACTACTGAATATCAACATCACATTTTTGTAATGACTTTATTTTGTTTTATTTTGGTATTTCATTTTTTACTTTACTTTTTATGCTGTTAGTACTGTATTTTATACTTTAAGGTTTAGGATAAACACTGTGTACAACACAAACAGTTGTTTATTTCCCAAAAATTTGGCATAGAAAACACGGTCGTAAGTCGAATGGTCGTATGTCGAGCAGGTCGTAAGTCGGATGGTAGGTGTATTATTCTAAAGTGTTCTTATATTTATATTCATAAGAAAGATTACGAGAAAGAAAACAGATTTGGGCATGGGAAACCCACTGAGTATATTTTGAAGCAAATCCTATGACTGGCTTTCAATGTAAGTTTCTTGTGCCAAGTTAAAAGAATTTGAACACCTGGCCAGGTAAAAGTAGGGTTGTGAGGACACAAAGATGGAACTAAGAGTGGAAGGAGGGTAAGGAACAAGAGTAACAGGAAGATATGTACAGCCTCACCTCGCTTGACGACGGAGTTCCGTTCCTAAGACCACATCGGTAAATGAATTCGTTGCTAAGTGAGGAGCATACTATAATGGTAGTGAGTTTGTGTCAGCCATCTTTGATGTTGTTTTATTGTCACCTTTGCACCATTTATAACATTTTTAGTATATCTTTAAATGTTTATACAATAGTGTACTGTATATTGTACTAAGCAGAATAGAGGAAATCAGCTCTAATATACATTAGTTAGGTATGCATACTGGACAGAGAGCCCGTCGTAAGTCTGAGTCATCGGTAAACGAGTACATCACTAAGTGAGGAGAGACTGTATGCTAAACTTCATCACATGTGCACTTCAACCCACAGACAGCTGGTCAGTTGGTGGAGCAGGAAGGATAATGATGAAGGGATTATCACTGAATTTTGAATTAAATTTGTTATCATTTACATTTTGACTGACTGCATTTGTTCTTGGCATATGGCCATTTGTTGCTAATCTGGTGCGCTAATATTGTTTTTGTAAAAAAATAAGTAGAGAGCTGTGGATTGTTTCTTGAATTTGCATTGTATAAGAAATAGTAAATTTTGTTTTTTCATCGGTTATTTTTTGACCAAATTCATTTTTTTTTCTTTGTACAAGACCATTTGGCACATGTATGGCAAGCTCTGATTATTCTGGTAAACAATAATCAAGAAATTGGGAAACTGCAAAATCTCAGAATGAATCCTTACATTTTATGTTAGAATATGTCACCTTTATGTGCTATTGGCCAGGAATTCATCTATCTTATACATAAAAAGAGACCTATATAGTTTTCAACTTACAGAAAGCACAGAGAGCATCATGTCATAATTATTGATCAGAAAAATAAGCTGATCTTTGCGGTTATGGAAGACAGCAGCCATCTTAAGTATAACCTTCTCCACTTCATCCTGAAGCTGCAACATAAGACTGTCGACACCTTCCAGCGGGAACTTCTCATGCAGCACCATCACTGCGCCACTGAATTCTGCATATCTGCGTGTGATCTACAAAAATTTATTAAGCAGTTATCAGATATTTATTTAAAATTTTTTGTTTAAATAAAGATATTAAACAGGAATAGATATGTCAGAAGAAATCTGGGACAAATCACTTGAGAGATGGAAATGATCTAGCCATTATGAATGAATGTTAAGAGTGAGCCCAGATACAGTTATTTGGTATGAAGTACAAATTCAACAAAAATGTCATTGAAAAAGTGTATGAGCTGCTAAAAGAAAAGCCTGTTATAGCATATAGCTATAGAATTTATGCAGTGGATAAACCTTACAGGGAAATACAGTATGTGTGAGGGAGAATAAGATTATGTCTTGCTTAACATATCGGTTTAGTAACATATATATTCATCTAGTACTCTTCAACTGTGATAAAATATGTACATGTACTTTATCTGCAATATAGGATCAGAGGAAACAATGTACTTACCATAATCCAGTACAGTGGTCCCTCGAGTTACAATATTAATCATAACTCAATCCCCAAAATAGATGGTTTGATGGTAATTCATTTCAAGATGCCAAAATCCCCAAACTGCCCATGTTTTCTTTTTTTTTTTTTTTTTTTTTTTTTGGTTGTTTAAACACTCTGGGGTTTTCTAAGTGCTAAACAATTCAACATGAAATATCCAGAGGCACTGGCAGAGGAGGCAAGGCAGGATAGGCCAGAGGAGGCAGGGCAGGATAGGCCAGAGCAGGCAGGGCAAAACAGGCTAGAGCAGGAAGGACAAGACAGGCTAGAGCAGGAAGGGAAAGACAGGACAGAGCAGGAAGGGAAAGACAGGACAGAGCAGGCAGGGCAGGACAGGTCACAGCAAGTAGAGCAGGACAGGCCACAGCAAGCAAAGGACAGGCCACAACAGGCAGGGCAGGGCAGGACAGGGTTTAGTAGGCAGGGCAGGACATGGTTTAGCAGGCAGGGCAGGACAGGGTTTAGCAGGCAGGACAGGACAGGGTTTAGCAGGCAGGGCAAGACGGTTTAGCAGGCAGACAGAAGGAAGGTAAGCAGAAGGTTGCCAGGTAGAAGGCAAGCAGGAGGAGGGAAGGCAGAAGGCTGGCAGGTAGACAGCATGTAGAAGACTGGTGGCAGGTAGAAAGCATGCAGAAGGCTGGCAGGCAGAAGGAAAGCAGAAGGCTGGCAGGTAGAAGGCAGGCTTAAGGTTGGCAGGTAGAAGGCAGGCAGAAGGAAGGAAAGCAGAAGGATGGCAGGAAGAAGGCTACCAGGAAGAAGGCAGGCAGATAGAAGGCAGGCAGGTGGAAGGCAAGCAGGCAGAGATTGGTAAAAAAAATTGGTGACTTAATATTTACACTCTTGTCAGTCTCTCACTGCCCACACATATACCCGCCACCACTTGATTTTTTAGCAATATATCTTACGTGAGAGAGTTAAGATGACACATTAATAACCAAGTGACATAATTAATACAATGGTTAAAATGACACTTTAATGACTGGGTGACACATGACAATTGACACTTTTATAAAAAAAAAATAATACACTGTACCAGTTATATACACTGTACTGTATATACAAATTTCAAGATTTTCCTAGAAAGCATTTCATTTACTTCTTCAAGTCCATGGGTCCTCTTAATTAGCATTTGTACACTACTCTATACCTGTATATTTAAAATATGGGCCACAAAGCAAAGTTGTCCACTTACTAATGCAAAATTCATAAGAAACAGAAAATGTTAAAATTTATATCTCATTTCAAAGATGAAATTTATAATCTATTAAACCCTTTCACTGTCGCAACTCCCAAATTAAATATACTGACAGTGTTGTGACTTAAAAAAAGAATCCTGAAATAAAAGAAACTCTTTTTCTGAAGATGATGACATTAAGAATATGAAATTTCACTAATATGCCTTGCATTCTATTTATTAAGCAGAAGAAATTGCCCATTCACCTATCACAACTACCCTATACAATGTACAGAATTCAACATTCTGACTAATTTTACACAAAATTCAGCAAATTCCAATTGAAAAATACAATAAAAAAAAGCACTGTAAGCATTCCAGCCACTAAAGCATCCTATCATCTGTTCATTAGTCATGGCCCCAGGTCACTCCTCACATAACAACGGAGTCCCATTCCTAAGACAATGTCAGTAAACGAATTTGTCGCTAAGTGAGGAGCCTATTAAAAAGGTACTAGATTTGTGTCAACCATCTTTGGTATTGTTTTAATGTCACCTTTGCACCATTTATAACATTTCTGGTATATTTCTAAATGTTTATACAGTAGTGTACTGTACATTGTAACAAACAGGACAGAAGAAATCAGCTCTAATACATATACATTATTTAGGTATGCATACTGGTCAGAGATCCCGTCGTAAGTTCGAGATGTTGGTAAACGAGTATGTCGCTAAGTGAGGAGAGGCTATATACCATTTGCCCTCTATTTTGAGTCCATCATCACTCGAGGGTTAGGGGAGCTGACCCCTCTCTCCCCCTCCCCCCTTCGCAGTCGTAAATCCACGTATAACTTTTGACTCCCCAAAAACTTTAGTACGTACTAATAGCCTACAGTTGAGCGGATGCCTTACAGATAAAATATACAGTCGATTAACACATATTTTGAATGTTATGTGTATTATATATTGTAATCTTACAATAACGTAAGCTGGAAAAACAAAAATGTTATTAAAAAAATCATAAGGAAGAGAAAATACATTTACAGTACTGTACTGTATTTATCAATACTGTAAGTTTATGCCATCTGTTTACAAGATGAAATGATTTGTCTGTCTGTCAGTATCTACATCAATATTGTCTTATATGATACAAAACACTGTAAATGTTATATGTACGTATTACTGACTCTAGACATCAATTATTACAATAGTACAGTATGTACTACAGTTAATTTTAAGGACTTATGATTTAATACTGCATCTTTATGTTTGTTTACATTTCTCTTGACTGCAAATGGTGCCATGTACAATCTGTAAGTGTTTGTGTGTGCAAATTTTAATACATTTTAATATTTATAATAACTGTGTAGATTTTATGGTAGTAAATGATAAAACAGAGTAGTATCTACATATATTTTATGCAGTCATGACATACAGTGGACCCTCCGTTTTCGTCGATTTCCATTATCGCCGATTTTGGTTTTGGCCGACTTTTTTTCGTTGATTTTTTGGTTCCATTTTCGTCGATTACCTCTGTTTTCATCAATCGTTCGGAACCTGTCCAGTGCCCAGCGTGCAGACAAAGCTGCCTCCCACACGCATTCTCAGCCAGTGTAGTGTTGTTTCTCGGTGAGTGAACATATCCTGCCAAGTTATACGAAACATTTTGTAATAATCCATTGTTTTTGAAACTTGTTTATCTTGTGACTGCTAAATAAGCAACCATGGCCCCAAAGAAAGCTCCTAGTGCCAGTGCTTTGGTAAAGATAGTGAAGAACACCGTAGAATTGAAAAAAGAAATCCTAAGAAAATATGAGAGTGGCATACGCACTGCTGAACTCGGCAGGATGTATGGGAAGTCACCATCAACAATCAGCTCCATTGTGGCAAAGAGAAAAGAAACCATGGAAGCTGATGATGTGAAAGGGGTGAATGCGATAACCAAACAGAGATCCCAAACAATTGAAGAAGTGGAGAAATTGTCGTTGGTGTGGATCAGAGAGAAAGAGTTAGCAGGAGACAGTGTTGTGCAGTCCATTATTTGTGAAAAGGCAAGGCAGTTGTATGACAATCTCATAAAGAAATTGCCTGAAACAAGTGGTGCTGTACACTAAAGCAATGTTTCAAAGGTGCTTTGACATAACCTCGGACTCTGAATTGACACTAAGAGAGTTCTGGAAGAATCACTTCAACATCTTCCACTACATAGGTCTTATAGATAAGGCTTGGCAGGGAGTGACTTCCAGGATGATGAACTCTGCTTGGGGAAAACTGCGGCCAGATTGTGTCCAAAAGAAGGATTTGGAAGGGTTAGAGACTGACCCTGTCTACCCTACACCTGTTGTGCAATCAATTGTGGCATTGGGGAATTCCATAGGGTTGGATGTGAGTGGCGACGATGTGGAAAAGTTGGTGGAGGACCACAATGAAGAGCTAACCACTGATGAGCTGCAAGAGCTTCATCTGCAACAGCAACAGATCACAATTGAGGAACTTGCTTCAGAGAAGGAGGAAAAGTGACGGAAGAAGGTGCCTTCTTCAGAGATTAAGGAGATTTGTTCAATGTGGACTAAAGTGCATTCATATGTGGAGGAACATCACCATGAAAAAGCTGGTGCAATCCGTGCTGGCGACTTTTACAATAAAAATGCCACGTCCCATTTTAGGGAAATCTTAAAGAGACGCCAGAAACAGAGCACTCTGGACAGATATTCTGTGCAACAGGGGTCCAGTGACTCTCAAGCTGGTCCTAGTGGCGTTAGCCCGTAAATGGTCCAAACATATATATACGTTTTTTCAACATTTGAAAGTATGTAAAAAAAGCAGATCTTCTTTTTGTTTTTTTACATTTGAAAATGTGTAAAAAAACTTTGACCTACTTTTTTTTTTGTTATACAGTGGACCCCCGCTTAATAATCACCTCCCAATGCGACCAATTATGTAAGTGTATTTATGTAAGTGAGTTTGTACGTGTATGTTTGGGGGTCTGAAATGGACTAATCTACTTCACAATATTCCTTATGGGAACAAATTCGGTCTGTACTGGCACCTGAACATACTTCTGGAATGAAAAAATATCGTTAACCAGGGGTCCACTGTATTTGAAAATATGTAAAAAAAAACTTAGATCTATTTTTGTAGCACTACACATGTAAGCGTAGATCTGCTTGGACCGTTTACGGGTTAAAAAACAAAGGAGGAAAGTGACCTTGGATAAGGACTTGGTACCTTGAGTCCTTATGGAGGGGGATTCCCCTTCCAAAGAATAACCTCTCTTCCCTCTCTCCTCCTCCCTGTCTTCCTTCCAGCAGCAACAGCCTTCAATAAATGTAAATGTCATGTGTAATGTTCATTCTTTTGTGCATGTAAATCTATCTTCAAGGTAAAAAAAATTTTTTTTGGTGATACTTCTAGGTGTCTGAAATGGATTAATTCCATTAACATTATTTCTTATGGGGAAAATGGCTTCGGTTTTGGCCGATTTCAGTTTTGGCCGATGGCTCTGGAACGGATTAAACACGAAAACCGAGAGTCCACTGTACTTAACTTTTGCTTAAAATGTAGATCTACATCAGCAATGGTAGTGACAATAATGTAGAGCAACCTGGGTGACAGGGAAAGGGCTGATACAGAACTATATAAAGCTAATACAGTGGACCCCCGCATAACGATTACCTCCGAATGCGACCAATTATGTAAGTGTATTTATGTAAGTGCGTTTGTACGTGTATGTTTGGGGGTCTGAAATGGACTAATCTACTTCACAATATTCCTTATGGGAATAAATTCGGTCAGTACTGGCACCTTTACATACTTATGGAGTGAAAAAATATCATTAACCGGGGGTCCACTGTATGTCAGAAATCTGAGGTGTGATAAATAATTCACTTACATAATGTGGACGCATGTCCAGTGCTGCCATTTTGGATGGGTCACACTCCTGAATGCTCTGTATGTTCATTTTCACAACATACTCAAACCTGTGTACAATAAAAATACTTGTAAAATGCAATTTATTTGGAAGGAAAAAAACAAGTATATATACAGAGGTAAAATTTTAGGGAAGAGGCGTTAAAGTCGATAGAGAGGGAAAGTGTGTAGGGAAGGAATCTAGTGAAGCAACTATGGCCATCTAGGCCATCAACTAGGCTATCACCTTCCAAGACTGAGCATGCATTGCACAAGTCCATTTCAGGGCTAAACTTATTAACATACAGTATATGATATGCATATAGATTTCTAGGCAACAACACAAGGATAAGGAAATCCTATATATACCTCATTCTCTTTACTTCCCTTCACAGTTTGTACCATAGACACACACACAGTTTAGCCTCTCCCCAACACTTCTCTTTACCCCTTTTCACTCTATAACACTGCTTTTATCCCAACACTTTCATCCCACTTTTCCTCTTCCCACATTCTGGAAAATAAAATCAACTACATCACCCACAGACCTGCCTAGTCAAAGCAAATGAAACAAAGACATCACTACACACTGCTCAGCCATCCAGCCATTTTACAAAGTACCATATTTTTATTTTTTCTGAATTACAGATATCATTCCAAATTTTCAGTTCAATTTCCAAACTCTGTGAATTTCATATGAGTAAAAGAATTCTGCATGAGAGACCTATTACTGTACATTAATCATACTTTGCCTAATAAATCAATATTTTTGTTCTTTCCTACCTGGGCCATATCATGTGCAGTAACTGTTCCCAGTGATTGTCTAGAGCAGGGACTGCCCTTTTGTGGCACAAGAGCCGGTACTGATGAATAAGGTGGGCACATAAGTAAAGTGCGATGGAGTCATAGCACCCCATAACAACACCACACACCTCTTTCTGAAACGTGACAAATCATACACAGACTATATAAAAAGGCCAAAAACAATAAAAATACATTAGATATGGTATACAAACAGTTTTTATACCATTAAATATCATACTACACTTTTCTCAAGGTATAATTTATAGTGTAAAGACTTTAAATTACCAACAGTACAGTACTCCCATGCAGGAGGGCCCTGCTTATCCAGCAGGTTAGGTTCTGGGCTACTACTATAGAGCAAAAATCATTGTACAGTGAAACATAGACTTTTCTCACTTTCAGATGCATATAAAAGCCTGATAACATGTTTACACTATCATATATTAAGTGAGCATTAGAGCTAGGCCTAAAAAATGCATAAACAGTAAACACATTATTTTTTTTTTCAACATACTAGCCAACTCCTACCGAAGCAGAGTGACCCAAAAAAGAAAGAAATACTTTCACCATCATTCAACACTTTCACCATCATTCACACACAAACACTGTCTTTGCAGAGGTGCCCAGATATGGCATTACTAACCTTAAAATATTTTTGTCCTTAGCTTATAGTGAATGTTGAATATATTTACTGTAGGAAGTCTGAATATAAGAAGAATGGGTATAATTAAAAACCACTGCATTAATGAAACACCATAAAGTGAAGCACTGTAAAGTGAGGCTTGCCTATACCTTGAACACTTCTTTCCCAGCTATTTCAAAGTTTATATAAATGATTTACTTTATACCAAAAAAAATCTAAATATATGATGAGGTGCAACAATAAACAAGAGGAAGAGCTTGAGGGGAACAACAGACAATTTATGTTATCTCTTATGACATTAACTAATATTCTTCACTCAGACCAAACCTTAGTATGTCTCAGGTGTAGTGATGTGTTGCGATGAAAGGTGGCAGCTTAAAATTAGAGGAGATAGCTTAAAATTAAGTATATTTAGTGGAAAGAGGTCAGGTGCAACCCAGTTAGGAGGAGCACTGCAGTAGCCCTACTCATCCATAACTGGAGTATACCTGGAAGGTGTTCCAGGGGGTCAATGCCCCTGTAGCCTGAAGATGAACAGGTCCTTCTCAACATTCAACCTTCTCACTCATGCGTGAAACATGGCCTTGCCCACTCATCTCTGACAATAATCTCACCACTCTACCTGTTTTTTTTTTTTGAGTCACACCTGACCTCTCTCTCTCCCCCATATAAAATATATTTTTAGATGTCTGTCAATTAAGTTTGAAAAAGTGCCCAGTTGGAAAACATCTTCAATAAATGTCTTCACTGTACATATGTCGTAGTCCCAGTAACAGTACGTTACCCTAACAGATTGTATAAAATACTTATGAATACATATGTAAAGTGTTAAGACAACATTGGACAATGATTCTTATACAACAGATAGGCTATAAATGCATTTGCAACTTTTACAAGGTACCAGATTAACAAACAGACTTTATTTCTATAAAATGCAGTACAGTATATTATACAATTAAGGTGACTAACATACATACATATTTTTTATTTTTTTCAACACACCAGCCATATCCCACTGAGGCAGGGTGACCTAAAAAGAAAAATGGAAGTTTCTCTTTTTAAATTTAATAATGTATACAGGAGAAGGGATCACTAGCACCTTGCTCCCGGCATGTTAGTTGCCTCTTACAACATGCATGGCTTACAGAGGAAGAATTCTGTTCCACTTCCCCATGGAGATGACATACATATACAGTGGACCCCCGGTTAACGATATTTTTTCACTCCAGAAGTATGTTCAGGTACCAGTACTGACCGAATTTGTTTCCATAAGGAATATTGTGAAGTAGATTAGTCCATTTCAGACCCCCAAACATACACGTACAAACGCACTTACATAAATACACTTACATAATTGGTCGCATTCGGAGGTGATCGTTATGCGGGGGTCCACTGTATAACTACTTTATAGAAAGATTCTTATTGTGCAAAGCATTTCTGGCAACCTTAAAACTAAATTATGATTAAATGTACAGTGGTACCTCGGGATACGAATTTTTTTCGTTCCAGAAGGCTGTTCGAGTGCCGATACTGAACGAATTTCTTCCCAGAAGGAATAATGCAAATCAGATTAATCCATTTCAGACCCCCAAAAATACACTTACAAAAGCACTTACATAAATACACTTACATAATTGTTTGAGTTTTAAGCTGTTCGTATCCCGAGGTACCACTGTATATGAGAATAAGAATACAGTTTTTAAAATATTGGAGGTATTTAGTAATTCAATAAAAAATATTATTAGTAATATATTAAGGATGAAGCTAGGTATGAGTTGAAGGAATGTGGAATTTATGTAGTTCATGGTAAGGATGACTTATCGCATAGTTTCAATAAGTGTAAGAAATTGATTTAGGTGAGCATTAAAACTGTGTCAGGGTATACGACAAATTCTAACCATACAATACAGCGAAAAAGTAATGTGAAGGACCTGGGAGTGATAATGTCAGAAGATCTCGCCTTCCAAGACCACAACAATATATCTACTGCATCTGCTAGGAAAATGATGGGATGGATAATGACAACCTTCAGAACTAGGGACGCCAAGCCCATGATGATTCTCTTCAAATCGCTTGTTCTCTCTAGGCTGGAATACTGCTGTACACTAACTGCCCCCTTCAAGGCAGGCGAAATTGCAGACCTAAATTGCACCTAAATTGCTGGGAACAGTTGAAGGCCCTTGATCTGCATTCCCTGGAGTGCAGGTGAGAGAGATGCATGATAATATACACTTGGAAAATCCTAGAGGGATTAGTACCAAACTTGCATAAGAAAATTACTTCCTATGAAAGCAAAAGACTCAGCAGGAAATGTAACATTCCCCCAATGAAAAGTAGGGGCGCCATGAGTACACTGAGAGACAACACAATAAGTGTCCGAGGCCCAAGACTGTTCAACTCCCTCCCAGCATACATAAGGGGGATTACCAATAGGCCCCTGGCTGTCTTTAAGAAGGCACTGGACAGCCACCTAAAATCAGTACCTGACCAACCGGGCTGTAGTTTGTACATCAGTTTGTGCGTGGCCAGCAGTAACAGCCTGGTTGATCAGACCCTGATCCACCACGAAGCCTGGTCTCAGACCGAGCAGTGGAGGTGTTGACCCCAAAACCCTCTCCAGGTAAACTCCAGGTCTTTCACACTGTGTACAATGTGCCAGCTATGTGTGCTAGGAGTTTTGGTTATTAGGCTGTATCTTGAACATAGCAGTAACTGGCTCTAGTTTTCACTTATGTCACAGTGAGCAAAGTATATCCAGGTATTTTTTGTTAGGAAAGGTGTTTATATATTCACTCATTGTCATCCCTGTCAGCCTTGATGAGTTCTTTTTTATAGAGTTGACAAATTTGATTATGATGGACTGTGAGGCCTATGGAACTAGTTTACTACTTCTATGCACTTCTGTGATACAAGCTGGGTTCATTTTTCACACTGATCTTCTGAAGCAAAGATTGAGTTCTTGATACCAGAGTTCTTAAGTTGTAGTTATATTCCATCATAACTGTTTGCCAAACAACCGCTTCTGTAAGTTTGGTGTTGAGATCCTCAAACTGTCTGGATTGATGTCTGAAGAGATATAATCAGTTCCTTAGCAGGCTAGGTAGCTTCGTTTTGAGTGTATATGTGAAGGCTCAGCATGGAAAAATGAAATTCACAGAGTAAAATTTACTTGATGAAAATTTATTTTTGGCATATATCCTGGTTTTCAAATGGGGACACACTGTTATGCACTCTAATGGCTTTTTCTGAGAATGCATCCCTCAGTCAGAGCAAATACTATGTTGCTTTTCTTAAGAAAAATTAAAAATATTTCATTAACCCTTTCAGGGTTTCGGCCGTATTAGTACGGCTTACGCCCCAGGGTTTTTGACGTACTAGTATGCCTAAGTTCTAGCGCCCTCAAATCTAGTGAGAGAAAGCTGGTAGGCCTACATATGAAAGAATTGGTCTATGTGGTCAGTGTGTGCAGTATAAAAAAAATCCTGCAGCACACAGTGCGTAATGAGAAAAAAACTTTGACCGTGTTTTTGGATTAAAACAGCGACTTTGCACTGCATTTTCGTATGGTATTTATGGTTGTATTCTAGTTTTCCTGGTCTCATTTTATAGAATGGAAGACATATTACAGAAATTGAGATGATTTTGACTGGTTTTACAATGAAAAGTACCTTGAAATTGAGCTCAAAGTAGCAGAAATGTTCGATTTTTACCAAAGTTCAAAAGTAAACAAATCATGCCAAGCGTTCAATACACGTCAACTGGTGAGTCTAATATTTTTTCACAAGTGCGCTGATATTATTTATACCATTTCTACACTAATGCAGTAGTCTGCATAACAGTAAATCTTCTATTTTTTGTAAGAATAAAAATTCAAAGTGGAAAACCAAAGAAATATAAGAGGGACCTGGAGATGTGACTAACGAACAGAGAACTTGTTATTTTAGTGCCAGGAATGTCTTTCTTGTTTATTCTGGACCCTATTTGGAAATTGGCATCTTCTGAAGTTTGTGTGAAATTGGCAAAATTGCTAAATTCTGACCACTTTATTGGATAGTTGAAATTGGTAAATGGGTGGTTTCTTGTACTCATTCGATAGAAAAAATGGAGCTGTAAGGAAATAGTTATGATTTTTGTCGACTAGTACACTGGAATTGGCTGAAAATAGAGCTCAAAATGGGCAAAATCACCTATGCGTAAACATTGTCGAGACCGCTAACTTCGCAAGAGCACAATTTCGTAAGTTTTCCATCAAATTTCATACTTTTGGTGTCATTATGATTGGGAAAAGATTCTCTATCTTTTCATAAGAAAATATATATATATATTTTTTTTTTTTTTAAATTTGGGCGACCCTGAGAACAAGTCTCGGAGAGGGCCTGGCGACCCTGAAAGGGTTAAGGAATACTTTAGAGATCATATTACAAAAGAACCAAACCTGAACATGTTGAAGTGTCTTGCCCATCACAGTCATGAAGAGTTTTAATGCATCACTGTCTTGCACCATAAAGAACTCAGTGAGGAATATGTATTCCCGGCAACCATTGTCCATCAAGGCATACTGCTGGCTTCGGAATAACACTTCAAATGCATACTGTGGAAAATACAAAGAAATTACATGATGAATAAATAGTTTAAAATCTTCATTATGATTCACAATTAACATATGCATGTCACATTTTAAATCTAAGGCAGACAAGGAACAATGGAAAATCTTACTCTCTTAGACCAGGATATTAATTCCTATAAGATTAAAGATAATTATTTTATTTCTTTGTAAACGTTACAATGTGTAATTAAAATTTTGGTTTGCTAAGTACAAAGAAGCCACTATCATGCCGGGGCATTTCAGGCAGACTAATCCTAGTAAATAATAACTACTTAAATCTAGACAAGATAAGAGTGCTTAACCTGTATTAAAATTTTTATTTAATCTTAGTACTAATGCGAGGTAGTCAAGGTGGAGGTTTATAAGAATCTTGAAGTTGCACATAATAAAAACAATATTAAAAATAATGGTTCAAACAGTAATATTTCAAGGATTGGCAAATGTTTAACAGACTAGAGGTCATATAATGAAATATTTGGGAGAGTTGCTTCAAACTGATTAGAAGTTGTTTAGGTTGGTTTGGTTAGTATTGAGAGATGAGATGATTTCTAAACAAAGTCCTAAATTTATAAGTAGTCAGGGGATCCTTTGAATCTGACGTTAACACATTAACTTTTTTATTTTTCGTTCGATTTCTTTCATTTTTTTTTTTGTACGTAAAGAAGCACCTTTCAATAGTAATGTGACCAAGTTTCAATAAGATAGCTCAAAAAAACAACTGAGAAAAAAATTATTTACTAATAATCATACATATTGAACAGTAATTTCGACATGGGACTTGGAGAAGCTGTTTTGGCATTATCTACGCATAAAACAATGCTAAACTGTATTTCCAATGATTATCCTTTCTTCATTCTTAAAAAAAATAAAGTTTGTATGGTTTTGACATTCAGCCAAATATCTGACTTTTGCCCTCACAAAAATCAAAAACAAATTATGATATCTCAAAAAGCTAACCACCAGCTTGTAAAACAATCTTTCCTTTATGTTCTCTGTGAATTTCATTACATTCCTGCTATTATTAACGAATTTAGTGGTTCATATATGTGAATAACTTACTTCCGAGATAATCTGCGAAACAGCCGGACCACCGATTTTTTTTTTTTTTCGAGAAAATAACATTTTTCTCAGCAGTACGAGTGTATATCATAGTTACCCATGTTCGTTTTCTTTAATATAAGGACCCTGGAGGTGAAAGAAAGAGAATGGAAGCCCCTCTCTGAGAATGGGAATCTATTATTCCCGATGGAGCGCTCTGGGAATATGCCATATATTATTCATTCTGGAGTATTTACCATATTTCTTTGTTATTTATATTGTTTATTATGTCATATTAGATCAATTGTGATAGATAAATAAGCCGTAGAAGCTATAATAGCGTTATATTGAGCCATATTCCCCGGCCACCCCGAGGCTGGAATTTTCCATGACGTCAGCAAAATGGTGTCGGGAGGTTCCTGGTTGGTTGGAACTCTACGTATAAGTCCCACCAACTGTATTATGATGCCAAATCATCAATTATTATCTTAGAAAGAATAATACAATAAATACACGAAAAAAAACGGAAAAAACAAAAAAAATTGACGACAGCTGAGCACACCTGCCGCGGGTAGTGACGTCACCCTAGGTGTTTTAAATGACCATAATTCCTTGTAGGAATGTCGTAGAACAATGATTCTGGTACCATTGTGTTGCCAGAGAGTTAAGCTATTTTTCTATAAGATTAACTCAGTTTGTGAATTTTTTGACAAAATTTTTCGTTCGCGCTGAGTGAGTGCTAATTACCCCTTTACAGGTTCAGGTAGTGAATTCCAGATCTTTGGGCCCTTTATGTGCATTGCATTTTAGCATAGTGTGAGACTGACATGAGGGATGTTGAAGAGTGCCTTGTGCCTTGCACTGTGACTGTGCATTCTGTTGTAGCTACCAAGGAGTTTAAGAGGAGGGTTTATATTGGAGTTTAATGCTTTGTATATGTAGTAGGCACAATAATATGAGTGTATGCCTCATATATTTAGTAAGTTCAGGCTTCTGAAAAGTGGTGGGATATGCTGTCTGGCACAGGAGCTGGTAACCATCTGTGCAGCAGCTTTTTCTTGTGTTATTAAAGATTTAAGGTGGATGGCTGTGGTTGATCCCCATAGGTGAGGTAGGGATATATTAAAGAGTGGTATAGGGTAAGAAGTGTTGTTTAGGGTACATAGTATCATATCTTGGAAAGGATGCCTACTGATTTGGAGATGTTCTTGGATATATATGCTGGATGTGGGAATAATATTTAAGATTACAGTCAAGGAGAAGACCTAGAAATTTACCCTCAGTGTGTCTTGTAAAAGGGGAACCATTTATCGATATACAGTGAAACCTCGGTTATCGTGATTAATTTGTTCCAAAAAGTCTGATGAAAACTGAACTGTACGAAAACTGAAGCAATATTTCCCATAAGAAATAATGTAAATCCAATTAATCCGTTCCAGACACCCAAAAATATTAACAAAAAATACATTTTATAGAATACGTATAGTTTTACATACAGAAAACAGTGAGAAATAAATATAAATGACTAATGAAATGGATAAATGAACACTTAACATCACTTTTACCTTTATTGAAGACTCTTGGTGGCATATGGAAGATGGCAAGGAGGGAAGAGGGAGGACAGATCATTGTTTGGAAGGGGAATTCCCGTCCATAAGGACTTCAGGTATCAAGGCCCTATCCGGGGTTACTTCCCTTCTTTGTCTTTTACTGGCACTAGGGCCAGCTTGAGAGTCACTGTACCCCTGTTGCACAAAAAAATCTCTCCAGAGAGGTCCGTTTCTGGCATCTCTTTAAGATTTGCCCAAAATGGGACAAGATATTGTCATTGAACATGTTGCAGACACTGCTTACAACAGCTTTGTTAGGGTCGTTTTGATAAGGACCTGCCTCACATGGGCCAGTAGGCCTTCTGCAGTGCTCCTCCATTCTTATGTTCTTATGTTCTTATGATATTTCTCCACTAAACTTTGCAACTCACTCCACTTTGCACACATGTCCTTAACCACTGAAGAAGGCACATTCTCCCCTCTCTCTTCCTCCTCCTCTGAAGCAATTTCCTCAGCTGTGGTCTGTTGCTGTTCCAGTTGAAGGTGTTGCACCTCTTCAGTGGTTAGCTCTTCCCTGTGGTCGTCCACCAACTCTTCCACATCCCAGCCACTCACATCCAACCCCACGCACTTCCCCGAAGACAATAGATTCCACAACAGGTGTAGGGTCATCAAATCAGCCTCAGCCCATCAACTGCCTTGCCTTTTCACAAATTATTGACCCCAAAACACCATCTCCGATGTGGGGTGATGCTCACTCAATGATAAACAAAGGCAGACTGAGTCACTTGGCGCTTGAGTGGCCGAGTGATGTGGGTGGGTAAGCGGATGCGTTCGGTATGGACCATTATCAACTCTACGAAAACTGAGGTGATGTACAAAAACTGGGACAAAATTTCAACGGAAAAAGTCGTCAAACACCAAATCCTAAAAAAACTGGGGTGTATGAAAACCGAGATTCCACTGTATTAATTAAGTAGAATATTTAAGGCTCTGTTTCCAAACAGACTATACAGTATTAAAATGACAAAAATTCTGTGGGAGGCTAGAAATTCAAGAATACTGCATTATGTTTACCATGCTAAAATGAAGAAAAAAGCAACACTGTACCTGCAACATATCCCGGGTAGCCATTGCACTACCGAACAATAAGTGTAAATCAACGAACACGTTGACCATAGGAGGGATACATAAACCTATGTATTTCTAAGGTAGCTTCTTAGTTAATATATTTTGAAGTAATAATTGAGGCTATGACTTTATTTCTTTCACTGTTACATGATTTTAAGCAGCAATATACAGGAGGGCCCCAATTATACGGCTGGTTAGGTTCCAGGCTACCGCCGTAAAGCGGAAACCGCCGTAAAGTGGAACACCCTTTTTTTCCACTTACAAATGCATACAAACACTAGATAACAAGTTTACACTAACATATATTAAGTTAGCAATAGAACCAGAATCAAAAAACAATAAAAAAGTACAATACACACATAGTGCACTCATTACTTACCTTAAAATATTTATAGTCTTAATCTAGGGTGAGACAAGTAGTATTTATTGTAAGAAATCAAGTGTGGTATGTATGGTAGTCAGCCAGGCTACCATACCAGGCCACCCCACCCACACATACAATTCTATGATATTTAAGCATCCCAGAGCGATAAAATGTATATACAATTCACTCATTACTTACCTTAAAATATAGGGTGAGATTTATTTATTTATTTATTTATTTATTTTCAATTTGAGCACACATACAGAGGTACAAAAAAATACAGATAAGAGCAGCATGCCAAAGCCACTTATACTATGCATAGCATTACGGGCTGGCTTAAAATTAACTTAAGATTAACTAAGCAATGATGAAATCAGTGATAAAACATTAATGTAAACAGATTACTATAAAGCACAAGTGAGTATTACAAAGACAGGTCATATGGTTGCATTCAGTCATATGAAGGATTCTGTTAGGTAGTGTATTTAAAAAATAATAAAGTTAGATTCGGTTTTAGGTTTAACATTTATGTGATATAATTGTGAGAAACATTTAAGATATACAATTTATAAGGTTCAGTTATTCAGTATTTATTTGGTTTTGGGTGAGTAAGTGATCTTTGAGTAGAGACTTGAATTTATAAACAGGTAGTGTTTCTTTTATATTTACAGGTAATGAATTCCAGATTTTAGGGCCTTTTATGTGCATTGAGTTTTTGCATAGTGTGAGATGGACACGAGGAACATCAAAGAGTGATCTGTGCCTTGTGTTATGGTCATGTGTTCTGTTGAGATGAGTAGTATTTATTGTAAAAAATCAAGTGTGGTATGTATGGTAGTCAGCCGGGCTACCATACCAGGCCAACCCACCTACACATAATATTCTATTACATTTAAGCATCC